AAGGATCCAGCGCGGAGCGACTGTCTATTAATTATTTAAAAATAAATAGTGTATGATATTAGATTGCAGAAACGAAATAGTTTACAATTTTTTTTTTTTTTTAATCAATTTGTACCAACTGCAGTTTTTAATTCTTAATTCTCTTTTAATACGTTTTCCCTACGGCGCATAAATTCATCGATGTATATTTTTATCGTATTATTTAGATAAATAAAACGTTCGAACGCGACCAATATTGCGGATATTAAAACCGGACAGAATTATCGGGTCGTGTATGCGAAACAAATAGATTTCGGGTATTTTTATTCCGTGAATGGAGGGCCGTTAAACATTTTTGTGCGCAAAGCGTCCGTTGGTTTCGACGCGCGTCGCGCGCGTTCCAGTAAGTTCCCGATATTACGAGATTATACGAGCATAACGGGGTTAGAAACGGGGCGAACGTGGCGCGAGCGAAAATAAGCGACACGTGCCTTTTTACCGAGAGCTCGGGCACCCCCTGCCCCAATGCACCCTGTAAGCGAGTATTTGCTTTCGCGCGGCCCGGATAACACCCCGGCGCGCCGCGCGGCGCGAGTCGGCCGCGAACGAGATGCGGCCATTCGTGTGCGCGGTCACGCGAAAATTTTACGCATAATACGGAGCGTGGGGTACGGTGCACGTGCGAAGGTATCGCGGCTTCCCAAAGTACACGAGCGCAACGAGGGGAGGTTTTCATCCGATATAGAATATCGACGGTGGAAATGTGGAATGATGTCCGCATATACGTATACTTATACGGGTTGGCTCTCTTTTTCGTAGGTAGGTCGTTTTTGGAACGTTCAGCATCACTCGCGTCGAGCTGCCCCGAGACACCCGACGCACGCGTATGCAATATACATGACAAGAGACGCGCCGAGGACGGTTTTGCCACCCTAAAAAGAGATGCCACCTTAATTTGTTTCAGCTCTATATTTACATAGTATCCCTCAGAATAAATATGTCGAGCTTTAGTGATAGATTTTGCGACGAATATTGATTTTTTTTTTTAACGAAATTATTGGCACAATTTTCCAACTTTTAAATATAAAATCTATATATATCTTTATAATTAAATTGCAAGTGAATTTATCGAGATAAAATCTGTTATGTATTAATAAGATAAAATTAAGAGGAAATAATTAAAATTGAAAAGCGTAAGAGGCAAAATATAAGCATTACAAATTTATATTTTTCGATTTTTCGATGTTTTTTTGCTTTTCTTTGTTTTTTATTCAGGCTTCTCTACGACACTCGGTGCGTTTCGTCGTTTTTCTGGTTATATCTTAACGTTAGTCAGCATACAAAACCGGAAATCTGAGAAGCGAGTTTCAGGGAATTTTCAACGGAAAGAGCGGCGAATAATTCGCGAGACTAATGTGCGGGAAAGTATTCACGTGCAAATTGGCGCGATAGCGAATCTAAGCGCGAAGTGATAACACGTCGCTCCGGCGGATCTAGTTACGCGCTGCCGACGTTTGCTTTCAAGTCAGGAACGAAGATAAACTCCCTTTGCTTCTGCCCTGTTAAGCTTCAAACGATCGCATCTTGTCGCGTTTCTGTTTAATATTGGCTGTCTTCAACTCTTGCGAGTTGAAAGCCAACATCTGTATTTTTAGAAGCAAATTTAGAGACCGTATTTGCCACTTACAAACGTGAAACCTAACTTTTAATTCTAAAAACTTTTAAATAACATGATGTTACAGTAACTCCATGTCATAGTGACCTTTAAATTACGTGTAAAAAATATTCTGGATAAAATAAAATTGAAAATATGCATATTTTTTTCTGTTTGTGGTAAAGTCAATTTATTTGCATATTATTCGAAAAATAGATTGAATGTTTTTTACAGTATCCTCACATAGAGATACTCTGCGTCGATCAAAATACTTTGGAAAAATTTTTGTAAATTGAGCTGAACGGTATCATAATAACTCTATTAATTATATCGAACAAATCGAATGTAAATGAAGACAATGTTAATTTCTACCCTTTCTATTTTCTCTCAACCCTCTGAATAGGCAAACAGGGAAAAGAAGCGAACGAACTGTAAAAAAAAAGTGTGGAATATTTCTTGCAAATGAGTCTTGCGATTTCATTTGCACATTTTTCTCAGAAAGTACAATGACATCCCGCCGTTTAAAATAAAGCTCCCGTAACACACTGTACTTCGAAATCAAGTAATCGATAGATAACTCGTACATACGTGTGAGGCTCAGGTCTAGCTTCGTCGTGAGACGTTGAAGAGAGAATAATTGCTGCTCGTCACGAATAAGCAGAAGCGACCAATAAGAAGCAGCGCCGATTAATCTTACACGGGGCAACGCGGACGGAGAGAAATGGCGATGGAACGAGGGATGTGAGGAGAGAAGGTTAGCAGTTGATAATTTGACATGACTAAAAAAGAGAGGATGCAGCAAGAAACTTTATTTCTCATCATGGTCCGGCGCAGACAAGTCGATTTTAGCCAAGCTTGAAATTTATAGAAGTTGACATTAATATTATAGACAAGAATTTTTATTCGAACGGGACAGTTCTTTTTTCTCGTCGGAAAAGCGCGAATCAACACCACGTTAAACTTGCTTTTTAACAGCGAACAAAATTCGTGTCTCACTTGGCTTAATTTTTTCAGCCGCTGAATTGTTATTCCAAAATTATTCGAAAGAAAACATTCGGCGAATTTTACGAGCAGAATCTCCCCTTCGTAATTTAGAACATTGTAAAATGCATATCGATCTCATCATTTGCAAATATAAATGTAAATGAATTCGTCCGGAGAGGCAAACAACGTGTAAATTATTGGATATAAATTCATATCAATTTTAGCTGCGTGACCAAATTTATAGTCCCGGCTTATTATTAATTTCTACCTGTTAATATTAATCAATTATACATGAAATTAATTGCACGGTTAAAATGTTACTTTTTGGTTTTAATATTTCATTTGCATTTGTACATTGATAATTAAGATTGCACTTGTGTGTCACTGCCCTGCTATATGTAAAGGTGAGAAACTATTACATTGCGGTGTGGCGGCAGCGGAGGCGTAGTAAATAATAGGAAAAAAGTAAATATATACCAAAGGCGGGGGATACGCGCGTGTTTAGTTTTCCGACATCACCTTGACGTGAGATTACGGTATAGCTGCGTATGTGGTGGAAAATATTTTTCTTTTCTCGGATGAGCCAAGTACTTTGTAAGACGCGGATATCGAATACAGGGTTCTGTTCGGCGCGCGGGGAGAAGCGGGGGGACCGAGAGACCGCTGTTATTCTTTCGGAATAAAAGACCAACTTTCCAGGCGAAAGAATCGATCTGGCTTTCTCGCGTGGGTATACGGCTATTGAGATTCGAGTTGGACGAACCGTTGGACCGTTCTCATTCTGGAAATAAAGTATCGTCCACGCTAGTGCCACTTCTACTCTCGTCCCAGTCGATATTTGACATCGACGTCGACCGAACGCGAATCCCCGTACATGTATATGCGCACTAGACAAAGTATATATACATTCCTAAAATGCTTCTTATTACGCTAACATCGTAAAACGATTCCCAAACTCTATATAGCAACTTTGAAATCCTGAATCGATGTTTTCTTCTTACGGACTAACTTCTTTACTTCTTTATCCTTCTTTCTATTTACTTGTATTTTTATCTGGGCGATTGTGATGTACGAAATACACGAATTTCGATTGACACAACAAACGAACGTATTTTCTCTGTCGAACTCGAGTCAATAACTTAATGTTGATTAATTTAACGAAAATAGAAGAGATTTTTGGCGAATAGAGGAATATAATTTTTTACTTTTATATTTTTTTCAAATATGTACGTTTTTGCAATATCAAAAGTTTATTTTATACGTGGAGTTAAGGTTTTCTCAAGAGTTTTCCTGAGTCACATGAATGTCAGAGAAAGAGAAAGAAGCGAAAAATTCCGAGGATACAAATTATTACTGTCACTTACAAAAATGTAGGAAAGAGTACTGGATGCTTTTTTCACTTTGCAACTTGCTTCAAATCTATTATCTGTCGCAACTTGATGTTTTAAATTTTTTATTTATTTCTGAGAGAGAGAGATTCTTTTTTATATAAATAAGAGACAAATACTTGTTAAAAATGTAGGAAAGAGTACTGAATGCTTTTTCCACGTTGCAACTTGGTTCAAATCTATGATGTTTTAAATTTTCTATATATTTCAGAGAGAGAGAGAGAGAGAGAGAGAGGGAGAGAGAGAGAGAGAGAGAGAGAGAGAGAGAGAGAGAGAGAGAGAGAGAGATTCTTTTTTAAATAAGAGACAAATACTTATTGTCTAAAGCTTTTCAAAAATTTCAATAGACCTTAATAGTTTCAAGAACACAAGCTTCTTCACGGTTATTTATTTCATGTCGGGGTACCTACAGACTATTCGACCAGCATATTTTTCGCCCTTTGTTCTTTGTTCTTTTTTTTTTTAAAGGAATGCAATAAACTTGTTCCTTCAATTTATAGCTATTTTTAGAAATTTCCCGTTTAAAAAACGGAAGTTCATTTCGTTAAAAGATCAAAAGGTTTTTTCAGTTGTTTGATGACTGTCTTTCGGAGTGTACCCTTTTTGTGCCGGTAAAGTGACGTTTACAAATCAAAAGAACTATTTTTTTTTCTTTTAATTATTTCGCGTAACTTCGCGATTATTCTCGTTTATAAATTATCAGTGTGGAGTATCATATGATATCGTGAAACCTCGATTAAAAACTCGAGTTTGCACGATGATATTGAGGGCAATCGTCCGCGCATATACTGCATTTTTAACAATTTTCTAGATATTTTCATCGTTCAAGTTTTAAAATTTGCATGAGACATATGGCTATTAGGTAATAAAAATACTTTGTTTTTCGGAGAACAAAAAATATAAAGTGATATTCGCGCAACATTCGAGCTATGTCGTTTGCTTTCGCGCCAGTGCAATTTAATCTTATTTTACGGTGCTCGCATCGACGTGGGATCATGAACTTTGAACCTGGCAATCAGGAAGGAGAAGAGCGTGTGGTGAGCTTAATCCTCTTTGCTTCCGATTCCGCGTGCAGGTGCAAGAGCGAGGGAGAAGAGAAGGAGAGTGTGCTTGCACGCGCGCGCGTCATCGTGCTAATTGGCTGTCAGTATCGGCAGAAAGGAATTTCAAAGCTCAAAGCTTCGGACGTATACAACCGCGGAATTCCACGCGAATAATCCGGCGCCTGGTCGGTCCATTTTTACACACACGCATTGGCTCCGAGAGATATACAGGGAGAATGAACGTGCAATAAGCGCCGTGGGGTTTACGTTCCCGTTCGTGCGTTTCATTTTGTCGATTTAAAAAAAATGCCGATCAAGGGGATCGTGGAAAAACAGCGTGGTGTTTTGCCGTTCTATTTCCCTGGAATTAAGATTTATCTGTTTGTGTGTAACTTGACGTGCAGTACAGTTCGATCCTTTTGATTTTATCGACACGAGAAGCGCCGTTGCGACAATATTAAACGCCCACGGCGGTTAAGCTTCGCAACAAAACTGCAGTGAAAAATTCGAGATTTGTCTTGCAGCAATTGCCGTAAAATATTAGCCGAAAGCTCTGGGGGGGAAAATCGATAATTAATTAGTTGTAGAAATCCTTTTGGAGAATAGATATATATATATATAAATTGTTAGATAAATATTGTATTTATTTTTTATTTATAAATTATTAAATATATTGTATTTTCAATACTAACAGAGATACTAAAAGAGATTACATATATTAATTATGTTAAGATAATTTCGGATAATTTTCCAGCAGTGTATAAATTATTGTACCTTACGATTTTTTTCAATTTCATCGTCGCTGACAAGAAAAACAAAGAAGTGTTGAAAATAATTCAACACGATGCAGGTAGTGAAAGTAAGGGCTCGTTGATGCCGGACTGCTATAGCAGCAGGAATCGCAGGAGGGTCGGTCGATGACCTCGTGGCCGTCGCGGCCGTGACACAAACGAAAGCAACCCGGAAAGGATGAGAGGGAGACTCCTTGGACTGTCCGATGTCGTCTCCATCAGCAATTTCGCTATCACCCTTGTTGTACCAATGATAAAATCGATTTTACTCCCTTCCAAATATCCTCAGCATGATCAAAGATCCTTGCCAAGAACGTGCATTAAAATTCATATCGTTTCTTCGTAGCTGCGATTACTTTTCTTCACGGTTCTGACGGGAAGAGCTGAAAAGGCCGGGAAGAGCTATCGGTTCACGTTTAATAACCCTCGGAATGGTCTCGTTTGAAATATACAAAGTTGAAGACATTGATATTAAAAATATTTCAATTTTTCAGAGGAGAACGGTACAGTTTTTTTTTATAATTTTTATCTCGAGATATTTTCCGCCGAGAAATCGTAAATTATCGACGGAAGACAGCCGTAAAAAGTGTATAATGGAGCGTATCGCGAATGGAGCGTAATCAATGAATATTGCGAATAAATAAATTCATCGAATGTCCCGCATACCGGTCTTCGTCGGTCTGTCGAATCGACTTTTTCCGCTGAGCGTTATACTTGACTTGGCAGTTTCCCAAAGAGTGCGTGGTCGGTGCATTGCTTTCGTGCCATTCTCCGTATGCGATCGCTTTCCAAAACGAGACACGGGAAAATGCCCCTTGAATGTTTTAAGCATTTATTTCCCTTCTGCGTGCGTTGTTGTGTTTTCTAAAATTCAAGAATAGATAAAACGAAACGTCAGATTCTAAGGAAGACATCTACGATGCAATGAGAATAGAATATTATATTGTGCACGGACAGTGACTTTTGCAGGGAAGCAATGATTTTTTTTTTCTTCGCGAACACGCATTTGAAGATTTTACAAAGTTCAGCAAAAGACTTCCTTTTTGCTTTTCCCCCTATTCCATTGCGTTCAATTGCGGCAATCTTATATATTGTCGAAACATTAATTCATTCTTCAATTCATTGTAGAGGTCAGAAGCTTGCTAAATATATTAGTCTCGTATCATGTCTCTGAAATAGCATATAAATAGAAGCTTTTACTTTATTATATACTGTTTATACAGGAAGGAATAAATATAAACGTTCAAATTATTTTCCAATAACATAATTATAATAGCTCTTTGATCATTCGTATTATCTGCTATGTAAATACATACAGTTATCGCAAATAAATGTTTTATAGAGGAGAGATTATTAATTTCTTTCTCTTTCTCTCTTTCTCTCTCTCTCTCTCTCTCTTTCTCTCTTTCTTTCTCTCTCATTGAAAAATATTGTCTCATATTCTTGCTCGTGTTACAAATACTTTATACTTATCACATTATCTCTCTCTTACGAGCGATAAACGGACTTACAATTAGATATTCGAATTTTATTACGCAGAAATTTTAGATAAGCATTATGAAAGCGATGCGTCATAGTGTTAATTACTCACGCTTCAAGTTCACCATTGGTTTACCGATTTTCGTGCTTGGGATCAAATCAATTTTACGGAACTCAACCGGTCGGATAAATAATAATTGCCGTTTTCGATATACACTGAAAGAGAAAATTAGAAAGCTCATTAACTCCCAGATAATTAAATTATAATTTCAGTTTTACAAATATATTATCAGATACATTATTGCGTTTAATCTGGCCATACTACGCGCTGCGGCATAGTAGGTATATTTATCTGAACGAATCGGCAATTGTCCATTTCGTCTTTTTAATGGATCTTGCATTATTTCCTCGTGAAATATCGGTTGATATCGGATATCCTTCAACGATGACGTATCGGCTATTGATCGAGAATGAGATCGTAAAACGTGTCGGCGACACGCGCCGTTCTTTCAACGGCAGACATCAGAATTCTTTAAATAAAATTAACTGTATCTCGAAATAGTAATTTCTTAATTAATAATTGCACGTATATATCGATTGTCGGCTTCACGAGCGGCTGGATGCTGCGCCAAATTAGAAAACCGATACGACCTGCATTTTATGTTGCTGCGGAATTTATTTTTATTTCCAATATATAAAGAGAATTTCTTTCTCTCTCTCTCTACTTTTTAAGTTAGAAACTTATTTTGTGCGATTTAAACGGATAAAACTTATAGAAAGCTAGTTTCAGATAGAAATCAAGATATCTCGACAGCGAGAGAAGATGATGAAATATTTTCTTCCGTATTTACTCCAAATGCTACCAAATTCTTGAGAATTAAATATTTATAATAAGGAGTTTTCCAACTTTTATGTAAAGATTATAAAATGTCGTGGGCGATTAGTTACGCAAAATTTTATATATATATATACATATATATTTAGAAGTACTTCAAGGAATTAAATTATTCTCTCAAGGCAGAGTCCAATTATAATATAACTATGACATGATTAAAATTTATTATGAGAACTAGTCGAACTTTTTATTCGCTTCATTTGTCTTCTTACATAATTGATTCGATGTACATTTTAATAGCTTGTTAAATTCTATAATATACTGCAATAAATTCTAAAGAAAGCAATCGTTAAAAAATACGAGAAGAATATAATTGGATCCTGACACGATTCCCTTCGCTATTACGTATTGAACGATTTACGCATTCACTGCATATTGAATGACGCACTGAATACATAGCAAATTAATAACCACTTGCAATTATACGAAACAACAATTCCATTAATGCTAATGAATTTTACGGGAAGCCCTTGTACAAAGCATTTATTTTATTAAAATTTTATCGCAGTTATAATTTTTATTCAAATATTTGTTTGCCGCATGTTTGGATATCTATATGGTACTTCGGTAAACAATAATACTTGTTTAATCTAGAATCGATCGAGGAAGTGCTGCAGCAGGAAGTTTAATTGTTTCCATTGCATCGTCGATTTGATTTTGTACGAAAGCGCTCTGAAACTGTGTTATTCGAAATAAAGCAGATTTTTTTTATTCAGAATAAATGTTCAAAAACATTAAATGAAGTTTCAAGATATGCATGGAATAAATTTCTGCAATAAAAAGACTGAACGCAACTATAGGTTAAAGGTTAAAAGTATCGATAAATAGCAGAACCTTCCAATTAACGTTTCTTTAGTTAGTTCGTTATGCATTTTGTTTCAACAGAAATTTTAATTTAAAAATAGGGTAGAAATTAATCGTAACTACTACAAGAGAAGCAAAAATGAAATTGTGGACTATTGTAAATTTATTGTTGTACAATGAGAGATGCATTTAAAAACGAAGTAAGTCTTGACTCTAGTTTACAAGTATTATTATATAGCTTTATCGTTGAAGAATATAAGTATATCCACATTTACTTCAACGTCAATTAACCTGACTATGTGTGCATTGTCTGCCTATAAGAAAATTCAACTTTAAATCTCTTCCGAGAAGAACGTCTTGCTATTTTATATCGTCTTGCACATTATGCCGTCATAAGCTTTGTTCCTCACGTCTCGTGAAGTAGCACTTTGCAGAAAAGAGACGGAGAGACGTTATCCTAACGTTTGTCCACCTCGGGATCGCGGAAAGGAAATTACGAGTGAGAGAAAAGGAATATTAATGGGGGTCTCTCTCTCCTCCGCCGTCTGCGGGATTTGTTATGTGAGAACGTAAAACCATTTTCGTTGGAAAGAAAACAAAATCGGGAGGGGGGAGGGGAAACGAGGTCCTTCTCCGCGAAGAAGGGTGGTACGCCGGGGCGCGCAACACGAAAGTTGCAAATGGGTAAAGTTACGCGGCAGAGGCGGCGGGGAGAATCGGGGAGGACTTTTTCTGTGTAAGTAACAGAGCTTGCGAGTTGTGCTTTCGAATAAAGCTTCCAGTCTAACGATCGGGCAGCGTGCGTGCTCGGAAAAGAAATCGTAAGTCTCGCACCTGCTCCTAGAAATTTTTATTGCCTTCTGGATTACGTTTGACTGACCCGCTATGAGTTCTTCTGTGTATTGTAATACACGTTTCATATAAAAATATAAAATTAAAATGGTTCACGCGCGAGATAAAAGATGTACACAGCAGAGTTTTTGTAAATCTTTCGCAATATAAAATGAAAAAAGGATTGACAATAGGAGGCCCATATCTTCTTAATATTTTAACTTCAAAATTTTGTTAATTTTTAATCAAGCATTTTGTCTATTTTTAATATTAAATATTAATAGAGCAAGTTAAGCTCAAATCAGATTGATATTAATAGCAGTATTAATACATCACGAACGAGATCCGGTCTATATGACAGAAGCAAGCATTCCATTTTTCGTAATATCGTTCAAGCGGATGAAAGCCTCGAGGAATTTCGCGCTGCCTCAATGTCAACCTCAAAAGTTATTACTCGATGGATCCATTTGACCCAGATTCGTAATTCTCCGGAAAGTTGGCCGCGCTGTCGAATCAATCCATAGATTCGCGGACGAGATCGGGCCCGAGAGAGCCCGACGGATAAATCGATTTTGATAAATTCCGCGAAATTAAGCCTGGGTCGCGCTCGATATTTCCGGCGCTTTTGTCACATGATAACGCTAAGCGGATTGCGAACGAAACTTACTCACACATCGCGCGCAATGGAACGGATTAAAACTAAAATGATCGCGAGCAAAAAGTTTGTAAAAAAAAAAATTGAATAAGCCAGAGTGAAATTGGAGCTGCATAAAAATGTCTCGCGTATCCGAAAAGTTGCGGCAGAGAGAAATTATGTTTGGCGAAAAAATAAAACTGCCAACAAGAGAGGAAAACACCAAAATAACAGGGATACTGGCGAATTGGGACATCCCGTAAATAAACGCGAATGTTTTAGATAATGAAATGTAGAGCATTTAAATTGCGTTTTTCTCACGCCGAGGCTGAAATAATTTGAATAAAACGATGTTGTATTTCTGTAACTATAAATATACTGTATTAGATCCACTTGATGAAGTATTCGAAAGCAAAAAAGGAAAAAAAGGTCGAAACTGCAACTGTGACGTTGTGCACTGATTACATTCAGCGTAGCATAAATATTGCGATCGTGTGATCCACACAACGTGCGACGGCATACAGGAGGAAATTGCCTTGGGAGAACTTATTGACCCGTATTTCATAATAAAAGCCAACATTACAATTGATTTGTGACGTAGCCGTTGCTGTATTGCACAGGTAGGACATCAGGCTTGCACAGCGTTCGCCGTAATAATCTCGCGTGCTCGCAAGCCTTTAAAGATTTACGAAAAACTTGTTGCACAGGTATATCGAACTGACACCGTTATTTCCGTAAAAACGCTATGTGTAATAATTAGAAGATACATAAGGACGCTGAAGTATTCCTGCGGTCCTTCAAAATTTATGCATGTGAACTTATTTTACGAAAAATATTTATATTTATTCTAAAAATGACGCCAAGTGATTAATTTAACAACGTTTATTTTATTCGTAACATATTTCTTTTTTTAAAGATCGAGGACAGCAAATTGATTTTTCTTCTGCAGTTTTATACTGCAGCAGGAGGTAGCGTTCAGGTATATGGACGAGTCTCGTGATCCATCATGATGAAACGCTCCGGATCCTCTTTCTTTTTGCCGGGGGATCCGGGCGTGTAGGTGGATTAAAGGAACGCCGCCGTCGTGTCTCGCACTGTGTTTACCTCTACGTCTGGTCCACGCGGTTCTTCGCCGATCGCGAGCGCGAAGATGCGCTCTGCGCTCTCCCACGTTGCACACCCGGGGAATCTCGCCGCACACACCTCCCCGGCATTCCGGATGCACGATACATCGGGCGCATTCGCGGGGAATTTGTGGGCGACGTGTCGAGTACGTTCCTGAATACGTACGTCGGCCGGGAATACCGTCGGCGGTATTCCCCGCGAGAAGCGTCGTCGCGACGTCGTGAGACGTCTCGCGCTTGCGAGAGAGGATGACATCTTTCTCCTCGGGTTTCCCTCACTCGCGCGTATAGTCGCGCCGATTTTGCACTGATGTTGCGTTACACTTTGCGCAACGCGTTTGAAACATTAAATATCGGCTGGCTCTCGTTTGTGCGATACTCGAGCGAACGTGATCGATTACGTCATATGCAGAACAATTGTTTGTCGAATATCCTTTCCTGAAATTTCAATACTTTCGCTAATTCTTATCCCTCAATTACCACGTCCGATTTACGATTTAAAACATTTTAATTTTAGCGTAGTAGAATACGATAGAGCTAACTTTTAAATATTTTTTAATATTATTATTATTCTATTTTGTTGCAGCTCCAATCGTCGGTTCCAGCGACGCACGGTGGTTCGTTCACGAGCTCCAAGGGACAGGAATATTTTTTAAAGGTGCGTCTCGTTTTTATCAGCGCTAAGTGGAAAGCATTAATCTTTATAGTCGCGTTGAAAATAAATTTAGATTAATTTTTCATGCTCTTGAAAAGTGAACGACACTATCGTTGCACTAAACCCTTCGTCACATTGAATCCCTCGGTTATTATTTTTGAATAGCATTATTGATTCTTTCGGCAATCTTTATTATTGACGCCCGATAGATGCGCACGTAGCGAAACATGGCAGGAGATGGCAAACAGAATAATATTATGTGACATAAAGACTTTGCCGAGATAGATAAGAACTTCCATATTTTCTCCGTCTCTCGACGGAGGAAATACTCCTTTCAAATATGTGAAGAGAAATGTTTGCGAACAAAGGAAAAACGTTTCCCCATGCCCGCGATGATAACGTTACAAGTGTGCGGGTAGGAGGGGGGGTAACATAAGTCCTCCGTATCTTTAGTTAACAATTGACAGAGCAAGAGGAATCCTGGCTACTATCGCTATATCGGTATTATTTACAAAACTCACGTAAATATCTATTTTCAGTTAATATCGTTTATTTTTATAAATCTGGGTACAAAATCTATAAACCGCGCAGGAATTTTATCAGAACGGAAACGTTTTCAGATCTTCGTTTAACGTTTTTATTTTTATTTTTAATGTGAGCGAGGAGCGAAATATATTTCCGAAAACCCCTCGTTTGTAGCAGCGCTTTTTTTATATATATATATCCTGTACACAGCGTTAGCGAAACGAGCGAGATTCATTGAACTGTGATTAACAAAAAGAACCGATGGAAATCAAGGCTGACATTTACTCGACGGATTTGCCAGTGCCATGTCAAATTCGTTTCAATCGCCGGGTATTTGCGGTTTATTGCTGAACTCCATCCGATCTAACATGTTTACGGTGGTGCATCGGATTCGCGCAAATCTTGTTGATGCGTTTCCGCGCTATATATATCGAAGCGCTTTTATCTCGCGCGGAGTATTGCGTCCCAAAATATCCGCAACATCCATAAAATAGCTATCTCGATAATGATGCGTTAAGGTCTTCTCTAGCGCTACTTTCTAACATCAATGAAACTTAACTTCAAGCTCGTATAATAATAAAATGTATATAATTAAAATTAAAATTAACGAAACTTTCACGGATATCTTTTCATATATAAAGGTACAAATATAAAGTACTAAATTTAATTGAGACATATTTATTGCATTGTTATTATGAACAATAAATAAAAGAATTTCTTGTGAATTATTGGTTGTGATAAATGGTTGTTTTGGTATAATGAAGAAAGCAGCCTTTTCTTTCTTTTCTTTTCTTAAATTGTGAGTCAGCGGAACCAAGCAAAAACCTGAAGCGAAATCTGTACATGACGAATCGAGTCTCATGTAAAATCTCCTCGATGAAGGAAATGAGTTTTACTTTGTAACTCGGTTCGCCTTTTTTTTTCGTCTCGCACGAAACCTTAGCGCGCGCAGGTAATTGCTTTGAATAATACGATTTCCGAATAACCCCGCAGCTTTAACCGCGTTATCAATCCTCCGCGGGGAACTACGTGGTCCTTGGTAAACATTGTTTGCCAAGGGAACGTCGCTTCAAAGTCCCCTGGATAAATGTCATTACACTTGTTATGTGCGGCCGCGTTTTCTACTGAAAGAAACAAGCGCACAGATGCGGTAGGGTCCCTTTTAACCCGTTTAGAATGGAAACTTCTTCGATTTTAGAAACCAACGTCGTCGGTTCTCGCATTCAGAACATATGACATAGTACTTTAAGCTCCTTTGATACAACCCTTTTTCTATTGAACTTTAGTTCTATACCTCTAGATCAAATTTGTTTTTTTTTTTAGATAATTTTGAGAATAACTGCTTCTTTGTAACATTTAGATTTCTCGAAATAATTTTTTGTATCGCTTGAACATCTATAAATCTTTAGCGAAGTGACAGCGAAGGTATACATTTTAAGTTCAAACTTTGTATCACTTTCCAAGTAAAGTTAATCTTCTTCTCGCGAAAACGGTATGTTCTAAGAAATTGCATAATCCAAAAGCTATTTTCTCACCCGCGACAATACCGTTTTTTTTCTTTTTTACACGCCGTATCGCCAACGTAAAATTGTCGACTATGATGTATCGAGCTGAAAAGTACCGTTCTTTCAAAGAACATTTTACTGGGTCATGGTTTTCAATATTTCGTCCCTTCTTTGAGTGAAAACTTTGCGCTTCTTTCTCCGGCGATGATCTTTTCGACACGACTATCTCTTCTGGATTTATATTTCTCAATCTTCCCTCGCGCGGTTTTTCTCGATCTTTCAATACGGTCAATTTATCAATGTCGGTTAACCTATGGCGTAGTCTCTCGTTTTATTTTAAAGCTTAAACGTTAAATATAAGTATTGCCCTCAATATCAAATTAATAGCATTAATAATGTAATACGTAACATTAATACATTGATGTGTTTTGACGTCTTCAATGAAGACAAATACAAATCTCTAGAGAGGCAGAGGTGGTATATTTTACATTTTAGTTCTGCAAATGTAATTTATTAAATGTACGGAAATGTGGTTGGTGGAATGAAAGATAGATAGGAGGGCAGAAATGCGAAGATAGATATAGAAAGCACGAAGATACATAAGATATAGAAGCGGACAAACACATTGAGTTAATTAATTAGAGTTACTTAAGGTAAGGTAATATTGGTTGTTTACTGCGAATGTAAATACCGAATATCTACAAATAAATTAATACGATTTGTAATTAGGCGCGACGGGAGATACGTTCTTAACCGGACAAAACGATTGACAACTAGGGTATATCGAGGGATTCGATGCAATACGAAAAACGCGCTCGGTGCCCTTTATCAGGATGAATCGCCTCGCGTCTCGCATGAGTGCTGACGCGACGCGATTACTGTCCCTCAGCATCCCTCCGATGATTTTCCCGGTTTCTCTTAATCGAGCCAGCGGCTTCTTCGCTTCGCAGGGGCTCGAGGCGACGCTGAGTGACAGCAAGAAGAAGTACGCCGACAAGGTGAATGCGCTTCTGTCAGCCTGGGAGCATGTCACCAATTATATTCCTGCGGCACCGCCCGAGGCCATCCAGTCTCTCATAGAATGGGCTCACAGGTGGGTACACGTCGTCCGTCGATCGTTGTTGTTGTTGTTGTTGTTGCGTCCGCGATTATGTAGCCGACCCTCGATTAACAGGGGAACTCGTTTCGCAAAGGCACGTACAAGGGCGAGGGAGATATACCGTTGCATAACTACGATCGTTCCTTGCCTGACGATTACATCGTTAAAAAAAGCTACCACACGCAATCTCGACATTATGTTTTTTTAATGTTTATATAATTGTGTGCGGAGGTTTATACTTTATTTTGAAAAAGGAAAACGAGTCGAACTTCGCTCGACAAATACCATCAGTGGTCTATTTTTGTAAGTTGGAATACTGATATTTTTATCGCGTGTAATTTTTAAAGTGCTTTTAACGTTCAAAGTGAGCGAGAATTCTCTTAACGTTATTCTTTCAGTTCATTATTATTTGAGGATTTAAATAATTGAATGTATAATGTCGGAGAAACTGTCAAGTTACATTAATTATGTTCATTATTGTCGCATTATGAGGTCCCCGCGCGCGTATGTGACCCATTTAACGCGTAGCATGTACACAGCCGACTTTTTTTTTGTATTACCAGCCGCCGGAGTTTTTTTTCGACACAAAGGTAGCGTGAAACGAGTTTCGATGTAACAGCGACGTTCTACGGCAAATGAACGTGACGGGAGGGAGAAAGCGGGAGAGAGATAGAAATGCGGCGAGAGAGACGGAACTGCTCTGAGTAATGAATCTGCACGTATGTAGCACCGTCATACAAACGATCCCGGAATTTTGAATAGCAATGCGACGCAAATTCACGTTAACGTGACGGGTATACAACCGAGGCACCCTACGGGTACAGGGTGGTCCAAAAAGGGATGCGTGAGAACATTATTCTTCGCGAAGTTTCCAGTCTCCCCCTGCAGTAATGGAGGTCTGATTAGCAAGCCGCGTTCGGCCATTGTTGCCGGTAGATGAATTAAATCTCGCGGATGAGTTAGACGCGAATAAGTAATTAGGAAGTCCGATTTTTAATCTAATTTTTAATTCCAATGAGAGTTTCACGTTCGCGACTTTACCATTGCTAATGCTGAGATGGAGCAACAGATTATCGCGAACTGACAAGATCTAAATTAACTTTCCTTCTTATCATTTAAATTACGGTGTCTTATCACCGTACATTTAATTATATGATCTAATAAATATTGTTTGCGATGGGTTAAAGATAACGAGTTAAAAAAAGAAAAAGGACACCAGTCTCCATCTTAGCTTAGAACTGAAAGTATCGGGGTTTATTTCTTCAAGTTGTATAGAATCTGATTCTCCAGGATGCAGATATTTCTTTCTCTCTTCCCTTCGTCTTATCTCGGCCTCGCGATAGGCGCCATCGACATCGCGAAACATTGGGAGGCAAATACGAAAACAAGTCCGCGCAAACATGTCCCGCTGTCTGTTCTTTTCGGCTTTTACTCATGTTGTGCTGTTCTCCGTTGCGCAGACATACATTGACATTGGTATTGCGCGGGGAGTGGCCGAAGTTGTCTGCCGCCAAAACGCACCTCTGCGTAACGCTGCAGAGGTGTGCGTCTCAGCTGGTGCAACATCCCGCTGCACCCAGGTGTACCGCCCTGCTGGCTCTGGTGAACAATCCATGGACGCATCCCGTCCTCGACAGCATACTTAACGGCAAACCGGATTCCGAACATGAGGAGGGTAAGAAGAGAGAATTATCGTCGCCATTTTTCGATCTAGCACGGTTCCGTTTTAAATTTGAATAAAAATAAGATCACGTGTCGTCGATCTTATAATATCCTGTGCCAAATCTTGGTGGAATAGTGGGTTGTTTGAACAAGTATATTTGCGCGCACCTGTTAACCCGGCGTTATTAAGGTGAAAATATGCGCAGCACGGGAGATTACTAAAGATTTATTTTAAAAAGTTTAGCTAATCTAGGAGTTTAAGACGCGATATATCATAAGATTTTATAAAAAATTTTAATTAATCTTTGAAATCAAACAATCACATTATATCAATAAAATTGGTATGATCCAAAGTCATTTTAAATTAACTTCCTTATTGCGAAAATAGCATTATGTTTACAGCACCTGGAGTTTGTTATCTCGCCTTAATAACGTCGGATTAATTACGTTGCACACTAGCGGATTTCTAGGGATTTTTAAAAGGGATTCTCTTCTAGATATGAAAAAATAAATAATTATTATTCTCCAGTCTGTATACATGCTGTTACATTTTTTTCAGCGTTAATTGTGATTGGCAGAATACAGTTTTATTCGTTTTTGTAAAAAAATATATAATTGATCAAAATTACAAAATAATACAGGAGTCCCAGAGACTGCGACCCACAATTGAGGGTTAATGTATTAAAGAGAAAATATCTAATTTTGTATTGTATTGTATTTAATACAATTATAGCTAATAAACTTAGAGAGTTTGTTCGCGAATTGTAAAAGAGATGAGTTAAAGAGAGATTAGGTCTGTAGTGATAGATATGCAAATGCATAACAATAATCTGTCTTTCGTATATTAAATTCTTAATTGTTCTTGCGATCGCTAACAATATTATTTAGCCAATTGTGTGTCTTTGACTTCTTAATTTCGTTCAGCTATTTTTAAATCCTCGATGACCGTATATTGCGAGTTCACAGAAAAAACTCGAAGTGCCATTTATATCATTGTCCATTTATACCAGTATCATCGAGAAACTCTTGTTCTCCGCATACATTCATAATATCTATTTCAACTCTTGATTTTATTTTAATTCCGATTGCATCGTTTATGGTACCTGAATAAGTTCTTCGGCAATTGAGTTTGAATAGCAAATAAATTCATCAATCTCTAGCTTTTTCACTCGTGAAAATTCACGATTTAATACGTTGTTGAATGGCAACCATCGAGAGGCGTGTTGTGAAGCGTGTGTTGCTCTTTCAGAATTCTGTTGTTCGGAGAAAGGCGAGCTGCTGACGATGAGACTGAAGATACTCTGCGAGGACCGCTGCGAGGACATAGCGGTGAACCTCGCCGCCGCGTGCATGCGCTCCCTTAGACGAAGCGATCAGCTGCGGTCGCTCTCGGAGTCTCATCACGTTCACTACATGATCGACGTGTACATTGTTCTCTTGTACAAATTGAAACGCACGCAAGATATTTTCGCTCAAGTAAGTATCGATCAGAAACGTCAGATTTGTCGCAAGAGATGTTCATTCGATTTAGATTGTCAGGAAGTTGCCAAAATGCAAGCATATAAGTAGATATGTAAATTTCAAACGATGTTCTTAAAGTAATTTATCTGGTTTGGAGAAGTAAAATTATGACGCATCTCTGATGCTCCAAGAGTATCATCGAAAATGTCAGATCACTGTGCTATGAGTCACGTCGACCTACTTGCTTAATTTGCCAAGATCTGCTGAACCACGAGGATGTATTCAGAAAATTTAAAAACACATTTTTCAAACGATCGGAATCGTGGGAAAGCAGAATTCTAGTGAATGCGTTCAGAAGGTCGATTGGTTTCCTTGTGATTGAAGGAACGCGTGTTTTGCGTTCTGCACGAATATTGCCGTGCTGGAATTCATAACTGCGCTTTGTTGCAGTTAAAATTAATGGACCTCAACGACGGGCTTGAATTGGTCCAAAGGCTTAGCGGTGAGAAGCCAACGAAGTATGGAACGGCGCGTGTTTGGAGAAATTCGATAAAGGCCGCGGAATTGGTCGCGCAGTATCTCGTTACTGCCGGGATGGTTCGACCGGTATCGGAAACCGGTGCAAATATTTTGGAGCAGATTTTGAACTCTTGGGCGCTATTGCACGCAAAATGGAAGGACGTTGCACTGACTCTGCCCGGCATGATTAGAAAATTAATTGAACCCGCGGAAAGTGCTCAACATATTTATATCTTCTGTGCAGTACTTGCAAAACATGTAAGTAAAGATTTTATCTGAAAAATTGAATATTTGAGAAATATTTAAAAATATTTAGATATGGTTTTCTATTCTGCCAGAGATAGCCAATAGATAAAAAATGTATTATGTGAGAATATAGAATTACCAAAAGTTAAATATATCTATTAATAAAATAGGAAAATTAGATTTTATTTTATCGTGTTTAAAGGCAAAAAAAGTTAAATCTATTTTTAATTAAACAAATGTTATTTTTCTTGGATTTCTTTTTAATTGCAGTTCGGCGAGATTATAAAACCTTTGGTGATCGAACTGTACATCAGAGCGCTAACAACGGATATGAACGAACTGGAGAGTCAGAAGGCGAAGTCGGACAAGGATAAGGTGCGCGAAACCGCCAAGCGTCTGAGCACGCAATTCCTCAAATTGGCGGACGTAGTAGACAGCAATATTGGCATAGCAAGGGAATGCGTTTTGACGGCATTCTCTTTACATCCTACTAGAGCCTGTTACGACAGAATAAAGGAATTGGCGGTGGCGTGTGGAAAGGCGAAGGAAGATGGCGTTTCGCAAGAGGAGCAAAGTGTCAAGGAGAAACCCAAGGAAACTATAGAAGACGATCTTCTCTCTGTATCAGTTATCAAGGAGACATCCGAGTTAATGGTAGATAACAACGTCACGGAAACAGGCTCGACGCCCTCGACAGTTTTGGAAGCGCAGCCACCGCATCAAAATTTGACCGTTGCAAAAGGCATAGATTTTCAAAACGGTCAGGTAACGAAAACGTTTGAACGAACCGATAAGTTGTTGAAGAGCCTTCTGACAAAGAATCCCGACATTACGTCGTCTGACATAGCAACACCAGCGACGTCGATCAGTAACAGGTGTCCGTTGCATCCGAACCGTGAATCCTCATCCGAGATGCTCGGCGAACTCTGTTTTAATTGCGGCGAATTTACCGGCAGTAACCAGTTGAATGATAATAAATTACAATTGAAGGAAGCTAGCACGACGCCGGGCAAGAATGTGGAGAGAACATTGGATGCGTTGATTCTGATCAAAGGCGATGCGGTGACAGGCTCGGCGAATTATGACGAGAAGTCTGTGCCCAGCCAAGTGCTGGACGGTGAGAAATTGGGTCTATCGCCGCAACTGTGCGACGATCTGGCCGTAGTACTGAGTAGTCCACGTTACCACATGCTCAGTTGGGTGCTCGACTGGAAGGAGTTGAAGAATTTATGCGAGCGGTACCTGGAAAACGAAGAGGAGGTGCGCAATACGAACAAGGAGCTTAAGTATCTGAACATTGATTATTCGCAGTTCAAGGATTGGCCATCGGAAGACGATACTAAAGACGTCTTCTTCGGTATCGAGAAGGGTTACGAGCAGTGGGTTGACTTGCCATCCGATAGTTCCGAGCAATTCGGTAGCTTCCAGCCGGCAGCCGGCTATAAACGTTCATCGATGCGTCGCAGTTTAGATGATACTACCACGGATTCCGACAGTGGCAGTGTATTGCGTGTACGACGCACTGCACGAACGCGGAAGATCCATCGGTTGGGATCGTCCGAAAGCGACTACGACAGCGCTGAACGTAAACCAAAGCATTTTAGAAATAGGATTAGCTCGGTGTCGGACAGCGATAGCAACACGCAAGATAGTCAGACTGACAGCTTGGGTAGCGACGGTTGTCGGTTAGAGACCAAGAAGAAATCCAACAAATCGAGCGGTAAGGAGTCCAACCGTTCAAAGACATCGAAGCTCACCGTCGAGTCTGTCTCGCATTTTCAAATGTTAGTGAACGAAGAAGTGCGGCATACGAACGCGCACGAGGACGCCAGCGGCTCTGACGTTGGCAGCGACATCATCACTCTCTTTTCCGCCGACATGGACGAAAATAAGCGCGAGACGATCAAGGGCTCAGCGTACACCGCCGCGGCGCAATTAATCATTACTGAAAGGCGAAGCGATCCTGCGGTGCTGAAATCTCTTAGGATGTTCAGGCCACAAAGCTCGAAAAAGCCGTCGAGGATTTCGCAAATTCTGCAGAAGAATTTATTAAATAAGAACAAGGATGTTAACAATAGTAGTCGGACGGATGCCGAACAACAGGCGACCAACAACATTGCAAAATTTGCGCCCATGCTCAGCACGCTAAATCTGAACCCGAAGATTGTGCTGACACGCACGGACGAAGTCGATCGTAAATTGACCAGCCGTGCTAAGAAACAGCAGCAGCAGCGGCTGAGTAGCGGTGACATCACCAGTGAACTGATCAACATACAAAAATCGATGCCGTTCTCACCGAATAACAAGAGTGTAATTCAGTATCAGAAGAAGCAAAAGGAACGTGCCGCGAGCAGTAAGAACACCGGCGGCAAAAGCGACCTGAACTGTCCTGTGATAGTCGACGGACGTCGCGACCGTCATCATCATCATCATTTCGGCTCCGTTAAATCCAACTTGGGTAAAACCAAGTTTGGTGTTATCGAGAAGGCTGTTAGGGATTCCGACATATTAGCCAAAAATGTACCGGGTCTGAACTCGCTGGACATGATGGTACCGCCACGGCAGCGTTCCACGGTGAACGTTGTCCAACTCTCCAGAAGCGGCGTGCCGCAGAGCCCAAGTTCCGCCACGGGTACGCCGACAAGCATTAACGTTAGTGGCAGCACGCCCCCACGGCCGACGCGCACCCCAAGCGTGGCTAGCAACCAAAGTAGCAGTGGTGGTGGCAACAACAGCATACAGTTGCCGGGTACCCCTTCTTCAACAGGCGGCCACGACAGCGGAGTTGGCATGAGCCCAGCTGGTCAAACGCCACCATTGAGATCGTCGTCGAACCTCGGAACGCCGGACACCGTCGGCGAGGAGGCCAATCAGCTACTGGATGCTGCGTCACCGACGACTATCGGCCCGACGAACCCGACGACGACGATGACTGCCAACAACATTTCGGTAGTCCATCAACTCGACATCACTGAGTCGTCGAGTCCGGTGAGAACGATAGCGCAAATACGTCGTGCGAGCAATCAGCAGAACAACCAATCACCGAAAAAATCACCTTCTTCGCCGTGCTCCGCGGGCGTAGGCGCGACCACAGTCACAACGATGACGACAGCGACGAGCACGATGTCTTCGACGGGGCTGATCGCGCCCGAGTTAAAGGTCATCTGCAAACCCGACGGCAGTCTCCGTCTCGCAGCTGCCAGTCCAATTGTGTCCAATCAGAGGAATCTTTTAAGCCTGCAGAACTTGGAGGACGGTAGCAGTGCGAACTTTGCGCGACAGACGACGCAACAACGCGGTGCGGATGCGGTAGGCGGTGCGTCGTCCAACAGAAACGCCTACGATCGACTAACCGGCACTAGTTCCATCGTGAAGAGCGCGTCGCAGACCGGCCAGAACGCTGTTCTACCCAAGTTCCAACAGGCTTTTCGTAATAAAACCTACACTCTACCAGCTGATGCGACCGCAAGTGGGGTTGCCAGTGCCGCGACAGATACACCGCTGGGAGGTGTTCAACAAACGGTGACGACATCCGCGCAGAAGACAACGACGAATTTGTCGAAGGCAGTACAGACGTCTGTGCCGAGTAATCAACAACAACAACAGCAGGCAAACGCCGGAAACGTTAATGTGCAATCAATTATTTCCAATCTGCAACTGTCGGCCGGCAGGCAGATAGTCAACATTGTGCCGAATTCTGGGAATAACGCCTCGGCGAGCGCTGCCATCGGTTCGAATCAAGTCACGAATCAAACGATCACGCAACTCGTGCAGAACGCCAGTTCGTCCAACAGCGTTATATACACGCACAAGGTAATAACCAATAATCCGAACCAGCTCATCCCACCAACAATCATATCGCACGGCAATTCGGTACCCGGTGGCAGAACTCCCGTGGTCAAGCTCAACATCATTCGTACGCCGGTCAGACAACAGAATCTGACGGGAACCACCATCCAGGCTGTCTTGACGCCGACGAGGTTGCAGCAACAACAGCAACAGCAACAAACCGTGAGACCGGACAATTTAATCGGTTCTCCGATTGAGGTGACCAATCCAGTGAGCTCGACAACTTTGGAACAATTACGAGAATTCGAGAGCGTGCTAGAACAGGTGAAGGAGAGGAGTATCCAGCCACAGTCTCACCAGTCGATCTCTAATAGCGCGACTACGACAACCGTGCAGACGCAAACCACTACGCAGCAGACTCAGGCAAGCAAACCGCAGCAGATATCTGTTAGCACTCTGGCGCAGCAACTGATGATGCCGGCGCAGTCCAGCGCGAACAGCGAGGCATTTACCAGCAACGGCAGTACTGTGACATTTCAACAGGAATCTGGGTACCAGCAGAAGGTCTCCTTGGCTTATGTAAATCCGAGCAGCACCGCTAAGGCGGGTAACTCCACGACACCAGTGGTCGTGGTCACCAGCTACTGTCAACCAGCGGCGTCGCCGGCACTGAGCGTCACGTCTCAGAGTTCCTCGAGCCCGTGCGTAACGCCGGCGCCAGCACCGATACCACCGTCAGCTGGCAAAACACCATCGACACCGTCGTCCGCCGCAGCTGGGACTGCTGCTAAGACCAATGTGAAAAAATCGACACCCAAGGCGGTCAAAAGCAGCGCGACTAATACATCCAAGGCATCGCCGATACCGAAACCGCAGCAGAAGCCACAGGAGGATGAACAGACTGCCCAACGGATTTACGCGATTCTCGACGAATACGCGGAGCAGCTGAGAAATTCGCCGGATCTGAACAACAAACCGGCACCCCGCAGAAGATCCAATCCGCCAACCAATCCGAGTCAATCGTCGAAGAGGAAGAAATCAAGCTCGAGCAAGAGCAAGCCGGCGGGACAGCAGACTTCCGAACTGAGCCCTAGCACAGACGATCTCGGCAGGACTATGGGCAGCGAGGATTCGTCCAGCGGTGTTGTACACGTGCAAGACAGTCCGGCCGGTTTCTCTGCACCAGAGGAACCCTCGATGAGCGGAGAAGCGAGCGCCGAGGTGCGCAATATGACCAATGACTCGAACGATGGCGTCGAACTGAACATGAAGAGACGTAATCTCATCATTACGGAGCCAGGCACGGGCCAGCCGCGAACGGTGATTGTCCAGGAATCACTGCAATCGGGCTCGGTGAGCGTCAGCGAGGCGCTCGCCTCGGTCACGGGCAAGATGAGCGGTACGTCGGTACTGATGCCTAGTTTCGTGCTGCCACTGATGAAGGGCACTCAGCAGCATTTCACCATAGTATCCACCGGATCTAAGCTGCTCACGGCTATGCCGACGACCATGCGCACCTCCGGCGGCACCGCAGTTCCCAACACTTTACTGTTACAGTCCTTCCTCAATCAGAGCAAGCTAATCCCTGCACAACCGCAGATGAAGCAGATGAAGATGCAGCCCACCTTGCAGACGTTGTCGAACAATCAGACGCTGACCGGCGCGCAGAACGTTCAGAGCACGCCCGTGGTGATATCGCAGACCGGAAGCACGCCGTTCGTTGGAGAGACAGCCACTGTGACGGTATCTACACCGGATAAACCCAATGTTATCGGTGAGCTGACATTGAAGAATGATACAGTGGCCGCCGGTAGCGCGATCGCGGTCGAATCAGCGGCGACGAACACCGCCATCGTGGTGCAGAACAAGAGCAATCCCACCCTCAGCCTGATCGGAACCCGGAACATCAGCGAGATATCGGACAACCAGCAATTATGCGGCGTCATCACCAGCAATCCGCTGCAGGGCACGAGATTCTACAACTCGGGCATGCATAAACTAACATCGACATCTGCCGCTCTGAAGGCGGAAAATGTGGTCTGCATTGCGCCGGCTGCTGCGGTCTCCCATTCACCGGAAAAGAAATCCCCTCAGGACGGGCAGTTACACACCGAGAAGTCAGTATCCTTACCAGCGAGCGCCATTGCGCTCACTTTTACTCAGCAGACTGATGTGAGCGCCATGCTGAACGATGCAAATCAGCAGCAACAGCAGAAGGACACGAAGGAAGCGTCCACCGAGATAACGTCTGGTACCAAAATTATTTCACCGAAAACGGTAAAGAGAAAATTCGACAATACTATCGGCATACAGGAAAACATATCGCCGAGAACTTTGATCTCCCCGAATATCGCCACGTCGTTACAAAATAATACGAAAATTGGTAAGGAACTAGGTATATTTTCTGCACGTGTATTTGTGTGTCTCATTAACTTTTTTATGTTTTAACGTTTAGCTCATTTTTCATTTTTAAATCCTCAGTTGTTTTTGTACTCTTTTCATAGCACAATGTATATACAAATTTTTATATGTAATAAATTTTACAATTTTTTTGCTCAAATTAAAAAATATCGATTAATAAGTAAATTCTTATTTGTAATATTTTTTTCTAAGATGACTAGATATTTCTTTTTTCAAATTAATTATACATATGTTGCATAATTGCACTATAATTTACAGAAAAATGAATTTTTTGGTAAATAATGTATTTTTAAGAACAGCTTCGTAAACAACATGTCGATTCTCGCCAGATATTATATATCGACAATTAATTCTTCTCGCATATTGTTCTTCTTATAGAGTCTATGTCTCCCATTACTTCCACGAACAAGCAATCGAGCGTTATCGATCACACGACGCAATTCCTGGTTACTGGTGGACCGAGCAGCTCGGATAGCCAGGAGTCATCTGTGCAGCAATCCACCGAGACAATCGACGGATCCTGCAAAGTTGGGAATGGGCTGCTATACGAAAACGCACGCTTGCAAGAGGCCTGGGAATCGGAAGGAAAGATCTCGCCGGATACAACACCATGGAGATACGTTCCTACACCGATGAACGCGCTGAGCCACGAGCCGTTAAAAGTGTACAGGTAAACGATTCGGATTATATCAAATATTGTAAAAAAAGTTTCTATGTAATTTAAATGTTATTTAAAGCCAGAAACCTTTTCAAATATTGAAAATTTTGATAAAGAGAATTTGATTGTCACGATCAAAATTACAGGGATAATGACAACTCCGAGACCGTGCTGCAGATTATCAACAAGGGTCAGGGCATTGAGATGGCGAGCGGACAGATCTATCATGCAAACGCGAAAAAGTACTTCATGAATCATACTCTAGACACTCCCTACTCCAACAAGAGCAACTTGATGAAATCGCAGCTGATTTCAAGATTGGACCGCGAGATGATGCAGCAAAAGATGGAGAGAAAAGCCGCATACGAACGTGAGATCAAATTGCAAAAGAGCTTGTCAGAGGAATGCGAAGATCTGGGAGTCGACGAACCTAGTACCAGCGAGCTGTTTCCCGAGGCAGATCTGCTATTCGACACGAATCACTCGCCGTCGTTCGATCATTCTTCGCAGGATGCGTCCTGCAGTCAGTCCCTGGGCAAATCGTACAACAGCTCATACTTCCGGTCGCTGGACTCATCTAGCGGCAGTAGGGACGCCAGCCCAACTAGCGATTTCAAAACGAACGAACGCAAGAAGAACGTGAGTCAACGCGCGAGAGCTTTAAAGGATCCGTTGAAGAGAGGGAAGCGAGAGAAGGAGGATCTGGATATTCCGACGAAACATATGCGACTAACCCTGGATAATCTAAGCCAGGATGAAGCGTCGAACAGCAACTCGGACATCTCCAGGCTATCACCGGCAAATCTTGGCTCTTTGGAGAACGATTCGTCAAAAGATATGACTCATCGCGTGAAACTGACCTTGAGGAGCGGCTCGAAAGAAGGAACACCCAGCAGCGTATCTAGCATACCATCTAATATGAAATTGGACATCGACTTGGATTCGGAATCATTGCCGCCCAGCATGAACGTTAACAACACCTCGACAGCGAGTTCGGGCGATGAGAGCTTGACTCTGTTGAGCGGCAATACCGCGGACCATCATACCATACCGTCGCCATTGTCACCGTTGGGCGCGGCTGGACCGCTGCTGTCCACGCACAACAAGTACACGTATACCAACAAAAAGCGCGTGTCGTCGTCCAAGGTGCGCATGGACTCGTACATGGCATGGGAGAGCCCAATGTCCGAGCGCACGAGGTCCAGCACCGACGATGAGGACTCCAGTATCAGCGAGTCGATCGGTAGCCAGGTAGAAGACAACGTCACGCTGAGCAATGGCCTGGAGGACAGTGTACAAATATTAAAATCCTTGTCCTCCGATCGGCACTGCACTTACATGAAGAAAAAGGAAAACAAGCTGCAGGTGAACGCTGCGAGAGTGGTCTTGAATCGCGCCGATCACAAATCGGCAGCGGTGGCAGCGACGCTTCCCAAACGGATGTCTAAGGTAGAGTCGATGGTAACGGCGACGGAGACGATGGTAGTATCGAGCGACAAGGCATCGGAAGCGTCGGAGGACGAGACGAGCAATATCGTACTAATGGAGCCGGCGGATTGCCGCGCCAGAAGATCAAGTTTGCGCTGTCACGTGAAGAAGAACTGCGCGTGCTGCAACGGCTCGCCGGAACGACCGAAGAAGAAGACAACGGCGGCGACGACGGTCAAGTCGACGGATCACAAGCTGAAGAAGCGGCTGTCGTCAAAGCAGCCCGGCAAGAAGAGGTAGTCCTAGCGATCGAACGCTCGCGCGAGCATCGCAACGTGTTGTTATACCATTAGCGTGTCGTCGTCGTCGTCGTCGTCGGTGGTGGTTCACGATGCGACGACGATGCGGGCGTTTCAGCGCGATCGAAACCGGGCCCCGGGGGGTTTTAACGCTTCTCGCTAAAAAAAAAGCATGATTTGAACGATCTTATTCGCGGATCGATAGATCCATGGCAATGGTATTGTAAATATTGAAGCGCGCTTAGACGCGAATTCCGTGAATCTGTCACACTTACAATATTTGAAACATTCGGCGGCTGCATTAGCACGCAGGCAGGCAGGCTCAGCTGCGAGCAAAAGAAATATTCTCCATTTAAATTAACAATGGATCTATTTCACGTCGATGTGCGTGCTGTATGCGTGCATATTAATATATGTATGAATGATTGCGTGAAAGGAGAGAAAAAAAGAGAGAGAGAGAGAAAGGACGGGAATATAATAGACATACGATTTACTACTAAATAGTTATCGTCGATAACCAGTAGGTCATCCCTCTACCATTAGGTGTTAATTACGATATTAGATTGTAAGGTACAGATCATTTATGTATGGCAGACTTAGATTTTTAATCGTTAAGGACCGTTTTAGCGATGCAATCTAGTCAAGTCGTTTTTTTTGTGGCGAGGAATAGGCGACGAGTGAACAAAGCGTTAAGATAAAAAAAGGCAAGCGAAAACCGTAACGATCGTGTTAATAGTTCCCTCGCAGAGTAAAGAAAGAGAGCCTGAGTTTATATAATTCAACCTACAGTATGTCTATATCATGGCAAAGCTATTCCACGTTGTAACATGGTGTGGTCAGACTGAATAGACAAATAATAATAGAGTTCTCTTTCCGAAGAAATATTAGGGTATAGTTAACAAGGACGTGTGCGGTCTCGTTGGCAGTCGCATCGTCTTTGCCTTTCGTGTAATGCTTACTTGTATCTGTATAACTCTAACTTTATATAGAGAGAAAATTGTCGCTGTGTAAATTCTCGGAACTCTGCTCTTAGACGACCCTCGAAGAACACCGGGGTATCATTTGGATAAGACTTTACGCCCGATTCAAGTACGCGTAGGCGTATGAAGTTGAGGGAGAGGAAAAAAAGAAGAAAAGAAAAGAGATGTGGAGTGGCAATAACACGTTCTATACGGATCATTCTAACAGCTGTCTGTTGTACGGCCCGACCATACCTTGTCATGGTGCATGTAAAAATCCACGATTGTACATTGCGTAGATAATTCATTGAAAAGGTATAATATTATATATATATCGCTGCACTTTAGTACAAAAACGCTTCACTTTGTTTCAGATGAGAATGATAGATTTATATCGTATCTCCGTGTGCTATATCGTGAAACGTGTGAATGCCCGCAAATTTTACTATGGACTTACTCTAAACTTGTAACTTGTAAAAGCTCCGTGAGAACGGGACGAGGCTGCGTGGGAGTATGAGTTTATCTAACATTTCGTTATGATAATTACGATTAATGGAAAAAAAAAAAACGTATGTCGGGCGCTGATATCCATTCCAAAATTTTTATCCCGGCGCGCGATATATATGTATACAGTATAAATATATAGAGAACTTCGTCGAGTTTGTTCTTTCTCTCTTTTTCTGTTCTCTTTCGATGTTGCAAGAAAAGAAATATCGTAGCTTCAAGTAATCGAGGTATAACTGTTCCTGTGAATAGTGTCTCATTACGTGATATGAACCAAAGTGAAGGCTCTGTCGAGAAGGCATAAGGGAAACGCTGAATCGATGTGGAAAGCAATATACGTGTAGAATATGTAAATTGTAATTAAACTAATCTGATCATTCTGTAGATCCTTTTTGTTTTCTTTTTTTTTTTTTTTTTTTACTTACGTAGAATAATTCCAGTTATTTGTTTCGGTAATCTTTAATGTTACGTTTAGAAGAGAATTAAGGATATAATATTTGTTGGATGTATACATATATATATATATACTATATATTATTATTGCATATCTGATATAGAGATTACATGATTATTTGACCGTTAAACGGAGATCGAAGAGGGAACTTTTATAATTATATATAGTGTCTTCGAATTTGGCGTCGTCACAGGTATTAAAATTATGAAAAAAATACATAGATTTATACAACAATATTATTTTCTGACAGAACAGCGCCAAAATGGAACTGTCGAAGAACGCTGCAATCTTTTTAGTTAATTTTGATTGTAAATCATATAATGGAAAATCTAAGGTGAATAATCGATAGTGTTTTTTTTTTGTTATCGCGTTTCTTCCTTATTTACACATTCTACACGTATGCCAGCAAATGAAATGGTTAATATCTTTCTCTCTACGAGACGTATATGTGATATAATCGTTTCGTTATGAATGTAGCTACATCGCGAAACACGTTCCTTTCGGTTTCCGACCATTCGGTTAAAGGGCGAACAAGATTACCTACCTCGTGCGCTTCATCTCTTCCTAGTTTATCTCTATTACCACGGGCTCCGGAGCGTGGAAATTCGAATATCCACGTATACAATCGTTCGTGTTTCTCGCATAATAAGAAGTTCTGTGATCTCGCGGCGTGAAAACGCTAATCGCTAACCCCGAGAAGAAACACGTCTAACGCTTTTCGTTTTCTTTCCTTTTTCATATCCGCGCGGTTTGATCCAAGTTTTTTTTTTTTTAATTACGGTTTACAGCGCTAAAAATAATTTGAGTTTTTTTTTAGCTACGGGAATAATTATTCTGTAACAGTGAGGAAATATATATATGAATAAATTATGTTCTGAGTAATACTTAGTTAACTCGCTAACTCTTCCAACTGTAGGAGCGATTAAAAAGCGCAGATCTGTTTAATGTCTGTCCGATATTAATTGCGATCTTACTGTAGCGTGGCCTAGATCACACACTTTTCTACTGAAGAGTTCTCTTTCTCGATTTAGTTTTATCACGAGGGGGAAGAAGATTCCGAGAAAAAATTGCACTCTTAATAGAAGCGAGATCGATCTGATTATCTCATCTTATCTATTTCCATACCGAAATCAGATTTTATGTAATCGGGGCGGTCTACGCAAATGCGAGAGGATTACTTTGTAATCGAAAGAAAATATAAGCTCGAAAGCTTCGTTTATAGATCAAATAAATTGATTTATAGAAAAGGAACACCACGCGCTTCCCATTCTTCTTTTGTAAACCGTCTTTTTCATTCTACGTTTTACGGCAATTTTTCTTCGCGGCTTTCTCGGTGTTTCTTCGTTCTCAGCGCGAGAGAAGCGTATCCCAAAGAAAGAGAATCGCGTTTCCACTCGAGCCACTTGTATAAAGCGAGAACAATTTCAATGTATTTATTCCCGCGGTAAAAGTAAGAAAAACGAGCTCTATCTTCCTGTATATTAGAGAGAGAGAGAGAGAAAGGAAAGGAGGCGAAGAGAGAGAGAAAAAAAATACGGAGAGAGAGATGTCGGAGCGGCGTGTCTCCGCGTGTGTATAAAATTCCGAGCGAGTGTCTCGCAACTAAAATAGAGATGCGTATTTTTTGAATGGGACGTCAATGGGAGGATAGCTTCTAGCTCACACACGTGTCGGATGTGCGTGTACCACTCGATTAATCGGTGATAGTCTGGCCTTTCGCCACCCAATTTAGTCGTACCAATCGCATTTATCATAGAGGGGTGTGTAGTCTTCATCGTTAAGGCAAAGTCCGACGGCGGACTCGCGGAGGAAAGGAGCAGGAAAGAGAGAGAGAGAAAAGGGGGACGCGTTTGAGGCGCGGATCAAAACCGGTGTAATTTCGGCGAGCTCGATCTCCGAGATGGTTGAAGACATCGGGCGGATTGTCGGTCCCCCGTTCGCCACCCAGTAAGGGAGGGGGGAGATCGATCTCACCGAGATACGGCACCGGTTTCAGGGCCTCAGCGTTCTTGCGGATCAGGGCAAGGTTTCCCAAAGCTAGATTCTTCAGGTACTTAAAGAGGTAGGGAGAAAGAGGGGGGAAGAGAGGGCGAGAGTGAAGAAGAAAAGAAATAATGATAAAATAAAACAACCCGCTTTACACTGGCCGTTAAGCGATAACTTAAGAGTTTTTGTATCGTACGTATGTTTGTTAAGACTACTGTTTTTGTCACTCAACACCCTACCAGTATTCGAGAGTGCGAGCGAGCGAGAGAGAGAGAGAAAGAGCGAGTGAAGGAGTGAAAGGGGATGCGAAAGGGAGAAAGAGAAACCGAGAGGATGAATGCTGTTGTATGTCACTTTAGTATCATTAAAACGAGCGACGTATAGTAAAAGATAAAAAAAAGGAAAAGCGAGAAAGGGATGAAGTTGCGAGTGCGAGCGAGCAAAGGGCGAAAGGAAGACGCGACTCAGTGAAGATAATATGTCTCAAATCGGGAAATGAGACGTCTTTATGACGTCGTATGTCCCGATTTGAGACATGCACGTTGTCTGGGGGAGAGACGATGGAGGAGACTCGAAGGACGAACGAACGGCCGTACACCGCAAAACGTACATTCATTAAGCTACGCAATGTCGTCTAGCACAAATCAGTCGAGATAATTTGAGAATATTGTAAGGGGAGAACATGTGGGCGAGTATGTAAACGTATCCAGCGAGCGCGCAATGTCCCAAATCGGGATATATGACGTCTAAGAGACATCTTAAAGACGTTATATTACAATACGTCTTTAAGACACGTTGTAAGACATCTTTAAGACGTTTTAATGACGTCATATTACAAGACGTCTTTTAAACATACTATAAGACGTCATACGTCCCGATTTGGGATGCGTGTTGTCGGGGTGAGAACGTGACATGAAATTAATCGCAGACGGAGAGAACGATCGTCGGAGGCGAGCGCGAAGGAAGTGCGCTCCCGTGTACATAACGAACGATAGGGAAAACGATGTGAGCCACGTGTTTCGGCGAAGGGAACATTTCTTAGACCGGTACACCGCTATACATACGCGTTGAATGTTAAGAAAGAGACCGGGTGGTCCCTCGAAAGCGAAATGCGCCGCGAAGAGACACGGCCCTTTCGCGATCTCGAGAAGGGACGTTTCCCGGAGGACGTTGCGAAAGTCGATGGGTTTTTATGTGAAAGGAACCGCGGCACCGCTCTGATTCATCAATGATATTAATATTACTTTGTGTTGGAGGCATCTCGAGGGCTCTCACACCTTACTGTGTGTTTATCGTTATTTATAGGAACAGCGATGCGCAGCAAATTATTTTTATCACGCGAAACGGCATCGTACTTCCCCTCTAAGAAAGAACCAAGTTTATTTTTTCACACGGGGGTGCTTGGGATAATAATCCTTTTAGATAAAATCCGTTCGATTTGGTATTCGCGTGTATATTGTGGGCAAGGGATCGATGCACAAATTTGCAATCGCGACTAACGTGGAGGAGAGGTTTTCAGCGACGAAGCAATCTGCCGTATTTTGCTCGCGAAAGAAGGGAGGGACACTCTGTAAATAGGGCTTTATTTTGCGAAGCAATTTCGCAACTTTTTTCATCGTATTGCACGCAGATTTTAGATGTCTGGTCTTTGCTTCGTATCAAATTTCCAAAAAGTCAAGCGCAGTTGTCTACTTTGGTTTTCTGGATGATAAAGGAATTCAAAATTATTTAAATAGGATTTGATGCTAAATGCGCGATGGAAATATGGTTTGCTTCTCACCGAATCTCTAAATTACATGATAAAAGTATGATGGAAGAATGTAACCAACTTCATTGTTTAAATCTTAAACAACGCCCTATCCAGAAATTTAGAACCGTTTGCATTTTTAAGTCAAAATATAGAATAATATTCCTGTAGTAATTTTCTAAGAATTGGCAAAAGATTGTAATTTCTACGTTGGTCTTCAACGGTAAACTATGCATATGTTATAATTTCTAGCGAATTGCGTCTTTGTGTTATTATTAAAAAATTAATGAAATCAGTATGTTACGAAAAATTTAGAATTTAAGCATTTGTATCTTTCGTCCTTAATACTCGGCAGAACTGTACAGATTAAGTGCGAGATGCCCGATGCGAAAAGCTGCTGGAGTTGTTTTGCGAGAAGCTCGGGTTTCAGAAACGTACCTCGGTCCACTGATGAAAATTGTAAAATCGCACACAGCAGTAGTCGCCCCCATTCCTATGAATTTCGTTTTTATGAAGATTGTGAGACGAGAGGGAGGAAACAGAGAAAAATAGAAAGGGAGAGAGAGAGAGAAAGAGAGATGAGAATACTCCTTGGATATGACTGTACAGCGTATTTAACTTGTCCGGAGGTACATATATCGGGGATCCTTTTTCCAAACTTGAAGTATTAAGGATTGCATATTGTACATAAACAAGACATATTTTCTATATAAGGGACGTCGCTCGGTAAAAAGGCCGATGGCTCGAAAAATACTGCAATATTATGATAATTCTTTCAAGCGGTAGGATAGCCTTTAATCGTTTTATGTAATGTAATGATAGAAAAAGAGAGTCTGGCAGAATAAAAGTGAAAGTTCTGTATTTAAATATCCTGTCGGTGTACATTCATTCACATACACGCACACACATACGCAGACGATTCGATGATCAGGAGCATTTAGTTGCATGTACTTATACAACTATATAACATAAATCAAGAGCTTCGGATCGTAACTCACGTGTCGCGATGCGCTACCAGAATGATCGGTTTTGACAAATCAGGAAATGGGTTTGTATTGCAAGCAGGTAATTCAGAATTTCTTGTAAAGCGTATCGTTACCGAAATAAAGAAGAAACTGTGGAATTTGGTAAGAACAGCGAAATAACTTGAACAAGTTCGATTATTCCCTTTAGCGCCTGTAATCGAATGATCTCAAAACGTAGGATTTAAACGGGCTAAAATGTATTATATATTTTAAAAAGTAGAATCCGCTCGTTGTGTGTAATCGCGCGTATATTTATTAGCGCATTGTACTTGCTATTATATATATTAGCCTCTCTTTGGGAAAGATAAAATGTAACAATAACTTACAACCCCTCTCTTAAGTTTTGTACCCCTTGTACATGTGAGTAAAAGAGTTACAGCTGATGTTCGTATATAAGGAAAATGTTTATTATACGTTGTATATACATCAAGTACTTTCTGAAACGTCAGCATTTTCTTTCTCATGCTCTTTCCGCTGATTCTCCACCTCCTGTAACAAAGCAAAACTTATGATACCACGATTAAGCGTCGAACTTAAAAGCGACGTTGAAACAAGTCGCCAAATCTTGCAAGCGTATATTTCTCTTTAGTAACCGGAAGACATACCCTCTGTATAATGTCCAGGAACGTGACGTTATCTCTCGATTGGAAGAACTCGCTGATCTCTTGCGGAATGCAAAATTGCGTAGGAGGCTTCGGCTGAATACCTATTTCCTCCCCGATAAAACGGAACTCCGGCGTGTTCTCGATATGATTTTGTAACTCCTCGTACGTAAAAAGCGTTCCTTTCGTAGACGCCGCGTCCATCGTACCGAAATCTATTATTTTCACTTTATCTTTTTTACATCGTACAACGTCGAAGGAATCTACCAGAAAAATGAACTCGAATGAGTTATAAGGCTTGTTCGTTTTTGCTGCACTAGTTCAGAACTAGTGCAGCGAAAACGAACAGGCCTTAATTCGAATATCGTCATTAATTTTAGTACGGTGCTCTTACAGTTGCGCAATGGAAATCTGCCCTTGATACGCTCCGAAAACAAGCTCTTGATGTCTGTCTGTATATCATACTTTTCTGACTCGTTGGAACTGTGGTACTGCGATATATCCCTCTGACTTATAGCTGCGTAAGATATATGATTTGTTATCACGGAAATTAACTTTGTAAAGGCAAACAGAGAGACACGAAAGGAGTTAATACCGAATAAAATTTAATAGTTGAAGGGAAAAGTGAAATCGAGTTGATGAATTACCAATGAGCTCATTATCCATGACGAAACAGCGAAATTCTGCGCACGGATTAATATCCCGCCATTGTTTCAGCACCAGGCAGAACGGCAAAGAATTATCAGAGCCCCTCAACGATTTCACGACGTTTAGATCTTTGGCAATCCTGTCGGAACTTTTCAGCAACAGGTAGACCTCTTCTAGCGTATTGCATTTGAGAGTCTTTGTTGGCGCAACCCACATGGCATCCTGTGAGACAATTACAATTATATATTGTAAATTATACTACAATTTTATCTTCATCTTATAGAAATATAAATCATATAATTATATTAAAACAATTATTGCAAAATTACATTATTGCTATCCATACAATAGAAAATTTATGAACAACCATTTGATCCATGAAATGAATCATTCATTTTAGAAAAATTTACTGCACATGGTAGTTTTTTTTCACGTAGACATACATGCTTGTTGTTTCCTGAGAAAAATGGAAATTTTGAAAAAAACAGTCTTTCTAAAATGACTGATTCAATTGTGAAATAGGAATGCAGAGCAGAAAATAATTTACCGCAGGCGTACTCCAGTTTGTCTTGACAAATATTGCATCGTACTCATCTAATATTTCCTGTATTTGTTGACTGAATTCAGGAAACGTTGGTTGATAATCTATCTCCTACAAAAGATTTATATATATAGAAATTGCTGGATTATTCTGTCATCTCCTAAACAAAAAAGAATAATAAATACCTCTTCTTCGCACGTCACCGGCGAGCCGTCGGCCCATTCGGAATCCTCTGGTAAAGATCTCGCTGCCTCGAGCGGCAACACAAACGTGTCATACTCCAAATACTTTAGAACTTCGTCGGGAATATGAAGAATCCTGGCCTCTAGAGAATCTTTCTTGAACGCTGGATACCAAGAGGAAAAGGAGCACTCCAGTTTTAAATCGTTAACCATCCTTCCCAAATCTTTTGTACTTATTTGTGCTTTATCTGAAATTGAATTTTCTAAAAGATTAATGTAATGCTCATTAAATTTTCAGAATGAAAAAGATATATATGTTAGGTATTGAAAGTACTGACCAAGTTCGTGACTAGTTTCTCGAGTTAAGGAAAATTGAGTAAAGTTGACAACTTGTCAAACACGCGATTTAAACCATAGAGGCAACAAAGTAACTAGAGTGAAGAGTGATTGTTCCAGCTGTTCGCATTTATGAAAACAGGCATTCTTGTTTGTTTCACGTCTTTCTCCGCGACGCGACGCGGCGCGACGAGCGCGAGACTATCTCGGACCAGTTTCTGATTGGTCAATGAAAATGTCTACTGTGCATCCTTGGACTTGTTACACCTGTCTTCTTACATCATGGTCGTGCATATGCGCTAATCCGCTCGCCCCTTTGGCTGCTTTTGCACCGTTCGATCTGTCAAAGTCCGTGCAAAAAAAGGGTTGAACCAGGCCTCTGTGTGTGCGCGCGAGAGTTGCGAGCGAAGGTCGCGTGCGGGGCGGGGTCGTTTTTTTTACGCGAATCTCGTCGGTCGCCGTGGAAGATGAATTGATCGGCCCGTGTCCGATATATATCGCGAATTTATAATTTATTCGCCGCACGCGTACTGATTGTCGCACCCGTGCACCCGATCAGCAACCGAGGCACTCGAAGCAGCCGCCGAGGGAGAGACAACCATGGAGGACGATCTGCCGACCGAATATGACGTGGTCGTCGTTGGAACAGGTATTGATTTTTATCATGACGGGAACATGTCGCGTTTGCCAACGAGGAGGAATATTTTTTTCCTCGCCGGTAATCCTCATCCCACTGTCATGATTTCCGACAGGTATGACCGAGTCCATCGTCGCCGCGGCGGCAAGCAGGATCGGCAAGAGGGTTCTGCATCTGGACAGGTAAACGACCGGATGCCTGACGTGTCTTTTCCTCCTCTTTTCCCCTGGACCGACGTTCTGTCACCTGTCAATTATATGTACATAATTCGAAGCATGTTTGACGTACGAGATTACAAAGGCGATTGGTTATCAGTATTTAATGTTCTTTTTAATGTTTAATATGCCAAAATTGTATGAAACAATTTTGTTGCGCAGATTTGTTGTCAATGTTTATTGATGTACAATTGTGGGTGTTAGAGATACATGATTGATTTTTAAATTTGATTTTTTTATTTTTAATTAAATTTTCTTTAATAATGCAAAAAATTAAGTAGCTTGATCATTTGAGGAAAAATAAGAATGTAAAGTAATAATCTCGATTGACTTTTTATCACGTATTTTTGTTAGAGATAAAAGGATTTTCTTTCACACTTCATAATATGATATGATAAGCTATTTATAATCAGGGCAATATTTGTGCGTTATTAAATAGAATTTTTACTTATTTTATTTAGCAACGAATATTACGGAGGGCTGTGGGCTACATTTAATTTCGATGGCCTGCAAAAGTGGATAGAAGATTTAAAAACGGTTAAAAGTAATACTAGGAATACAAATGTCGATTTGAAGGGGGACGAAAAATTTTTGAAAGCTAGTGACCAGTATTCCACAGTCGAGAACATCGAAGAAATCTGGTATATTTCCAAGTAAGAAATGATCTGCATGAATTAACTGTTTAACGATTTTAGATGGTATCTCGTATATTCTGACTAGTTTCTTTTTTCATACAGCGATGCGGACCTACCTGACGTCTCTTCGAAGGACACCCAGACCGAGAGTACTGGAGATTGTGCCGCAGTCGATGGCGCGGAAAAGACTGATCAGGACAAGGCTGACAGAAAGGAGAATGTGAAACAGTGGAGCATAGACCGTATCAAGAAGGAGTATAGAAGATTTAATATCGATCTGGCGCCTAAAGTAAGATTACAGACATTTGTAGATACGCGCATTAATTTTCTTAACGTGCATATGTACATGACACGTGATTCTTATTGCAGTTATTATTCGCCCGTGGTGAATTAGTGGAACTGTTGATTTCTAGCAACATTGCGCGTTATGCTGAATTCCGTGCGGTCTCCAGGGTTGCCACTTTTATGGACGGTAAACTTACCCAAGTTCCTTGTTCTCGAGCCGATGTGTTCGCTAACAAAACGGTTAGCGTGATCGAGAAGAGAATGTTGATGCACCTTCTGACATCCTGCATGGAA